CTAAAGAGAGGAAAGAGCTCGTATATATATATATGTGGATGATACGGCCCACAGCCGCGAGAGAGATCCGTTCCCTTCACTGGCCGCGCGCCGAGTGTGTAGGTAATACACCTCTCGCATTGTATATACCTACGTATAGAGTCGCGAGTAGCGCGAGCCAAACAGCCTGCTTGTGCTCACTAGCTATACTATACGAGTACGAGAAAGATAAAGAGCACAAGAAAGAGGGAAAAAGTGTGCGGGCATGTAAGTAGTGGTTGGGTGTGCACGTCTGTATATATAGGTGAACACAAGCACAAGTGTATGTATAATAGTGAGACGAAGGAAGCGGTCGAAGGAGCGAAAGGAGAGAGAGAGAGAGAGAGAGGGATACAGTTTATGTATATACCTACGTTCGTTGAGGATTATTTTGCCGTTCATGCCTGGGTTTGTGTTGGAGGCCTGTGCGCTCGGATACCTGGTGGGGTGGATATGGGGCCTCTGGACGCAGCTGCTCCATCTACCTTTGTATATACGTTACATACGGACCCCCTTGAGCACGCGGATGTGTTAAGGCCGTGCGCCTGCCGTCTGTTGCAGTCGCGTTTTTTTCTTTCTTTTTTTTTTTTTGGTAATATGTATATACCACTTACCTATATGGTCAAGGCTCTTGAGTTACGAGACGACGATACTTCCTTCCGATACGGGATCGGTGGGGTGCTACCGATACCCCCTTTTTTTTTTTTTCCAACCGATCGAAAAGACAATCGTGAGGTCTATGTAGGGAATGCTACGTTTTCTACAAGCACGAAGAGGCGCAAAATCGGTGTCAAACAGATTATTTTCCTCGAAATCGCGTTGCATATATACGTTTTTTCAATTGTTTTTTTTAAAGTTTTTTATTTTCCTTGGTATCATCGTTTTCCCCGGCTATCCCTTCGATTTCCGTAACACAGCCAATTGGAGGAATCTTCTCTCTATTTCACCGATTTCGGTCTAGAGCTGCGGTTTCGTGAAATCACATAGTCGAATCGAACTATGGTAGCGAGAGGCGATCGGCAACAGATCCGTGACTGGTTTGTAAAATTGCCCAGCAAGTGGAGTATACGATATGTATCCCCGTATACGAAGAGTAAGATCACGCTTTCGAGGAAAACAAGATGCTCGTGTCGTGTTGTCGATCGCCCGTTATTATCGGTAACATAAAAAAAAAAAAAAAAAATTCAACAGCCACAACCGCGTCGTGACGTGTTTCTCGGCACTTGACAATCTCGTACGTGACTTTGATTAGGTATCATTGAGCTACTCTGCCCTGTAATGAAAAAAGGTAGATATGTGTGTAATATATTGTGACTGGCTCGAAGCGCAGGACGATCGATTAATCGTGCAAGGAGCCGTAAGTGGTGACGATCGGTAAGACATGGGCTAGCGGCGCTTCGGTATAGCAGATACGACACGAGCGTATACATATATAAGCTGATGGAAGTAATACGTAAAATGAAAAAAAAAAAAAAAAAAAAAAAAAAAAAAAAAAAAAAAAAAAAAAAAAAAAAAAAAAAAAAAAAAAAAAAAAAAAAAAAAAAAACGGGGAAGATGAAAGATAGGGGGTAAAAGCTATAGTGTCTCATCGTGCGGTCAGGGGACCTCGGCTGCTTTCATCCTTGCGGTATAGTAGGTAAGTATCATCTTGGATTACCGTTAGCGCTCTAGTCCCCACTCCCCTGCACGCGCTCATCGCCACTTTGTTTGTTTTTTTCCTTTTCCTTTTCCTTCATCTCCCGCAACCGGCTTTTCATTTCCAACTGGCAGCCGCTCGAGTGTCACTATGCTAGACTGACTTTCGATCCACGCCGGCTGCGGCTTATTTTCATTATGCACGCGCATATATATAGCGCGTACCACCACAGTGAGCGAAAAGTGCACCTATACAACTGCAATCGGGGATTCATTTGCAATTACGTACGGGTATTATATAGGCACTGGTATGTAATTTTGTAAACGGAGAAATGAAGCTTCCGCGTCTAAGTTTCGAGCCGCTGATTGTTTCTGGGGATAATAATACATCACTTTGACCCGGTAATACTCAAAATGAATTGTGTATGTACAGGGCCACAACGCCGTGTGTCCACAATATAGTTGGTTCGTAGGTATACCGCGACAAGATACATGTTTAGCTGTATCGACCGTTATCTCGAAAATTCACGGCTACTTAATTTTTTTTCTTTGTTTTAGCCGATCACTCTTTATGCATTGATCGAAGATGATGAGCCCACGCAACGATGCTGGTGTACGCGTTACTGCTAGTAGGTACATCCAAGTATCGTGCGGCGACGTATCGAGCAACAAGTAGTAACAGCTGCCGTACCGTCAGCCGTTACTACTGCCCGATCAGAGACTATAAAGTCATCCCTGCCACCCGTATACCGACTATAGGGGAGTAGGGCGTCCGTACGGTGGCGCCAACTTGGCGTCATATACACAATCCTCGCGTTCGAGGCGAAAGGCGAAAGACCTCCGATGTATATTATACTTGTTATATACCCACGTATGTGCTACGTGGATAATGTACATCGTCAAATTGTATACCTAAAAACTCCGCTTGACCTTAGTCTATATGCATGTACCGGCATGACAATAAGCCGTGATGTAACGCAAACAAGTACAACGTGTTTACTAGGGGGGGGGGAGGGGAGTATGTGTGTGTGTGTGTGCAGCTTGCAAGCTCCCCCGGTGCTGTTGTTGATGGCTTCAGTGGAAACAGCCGAGTTGGTCAGACAGAGAGGGCGCGCTACGCGCAGGCGTTTTGAACTACATAATATTAAAGACAAAGACGATCCACAATGTATGTACATAAGTACGTGTACAATAGAAACAGAGAGATAGTAGTGGGTCATACGTGTGTGTCGTGTACCACTACGATAACTACGCGGGCACACGTCGATAGAGCGCCAGAGAGCCCCCCCATGTACGTACCGTGGGGAGCTCCTCTTTCAATCCCTCTCTCGCAGTCTCGCCAGGCGCGACAGACCCGCGCGTTTGTTTTCTGTACAACCCTCTGGCTCTTTATGCTTTTTTTTTTTTTTTTTTTTTTCTTGTTTTCCCTTCCTTTCCTCCCTCGCTCTTTCTCCCAGTATTTTCGCGTGTGCTACCAGTTGGTGACCAATTAGCTACTGAAATGCCGTGGCCGACACGCGGACACGTCGATCCGACGATTACGGCACCGGCTACCACGACGACGACTCGCCCGATGATGCTGGAGCCTGCTGACGACGCTTCCGCGAAGCGTCCCCCTGCGCGTACGTCCAACGCACAAGCATGTATCAAATAAATACACCATCGTGTTGCTTACAGCTCGCAAGAGCTTTACAATTTTTTTTTTTTTTTTTTTTTTTTTTATTAATGCGATACAAAAAGCTTTTGCTCAAGTTAAATGCTTGCCATATCGTGATGATTTTTGTCGTTACTAAAACTACACAAGGATTTCTCGGATGATAATATTAATTGGAATGCTACAAGTATTTTTTAAGAACAATTTGATGCTTGTTAAATAGCGCGATTAAGCTGACACATTATGAATATTTAAGATGTTTGGCCTTCTGGATGGAAGCGTACGGTTGGAAATCTGTTTTAACTATATTTTAAAGGAAGCGTTAGAAAACAGTGTGCCCGCGATACGAAAAGAATATATTTCAACGATTATGTGACTATCGTTCACGTTTAAGGACTTTTATTGTCCTTCTTCTTTCTCTGAAATATAATATTAATGATGAATTAAAAAAATGTGGTGTAACAGTAAAGGATTTTACATGTTTATAGTTTACATTCATCATTCTGATGTTTTCTTCAAGACTAATCTGTAAATTTGCATCATTATCCGAATACTACTATTTTTATTACATTTCTAAAATCCGATGCTTTCTATGATTATTATAACTCCCAGCAATGGAATTTTTAGAAAATATTGTTCATTGCTTGCTAATATAAGCATATTTTTAAAATTAATAAAAAAAAAACTGTAAAACTTTAAACCTTTCAAAAACTTGGTCATCGAAAAAATCAACAATACTAAAGCAAGTTAAGAAAACTCATGGAAATTTAAGTTTTAATGGTTTTTAAATGACTT